GTTGGTTGGTTGGTTGGTTGGTTGGTTGGTTGGTTGGTTGGTTGGTTTTTCACTGCTGCATATGTGGGGTTGGCTAAACTATGAACTCCCAAGGATTGTCATGGTTCTGCCACCTCCCATTCCAACTGCTGAAACACTGCACTTACAGACAAGTGCTTGTATGGCCAGCTTAAACAGGTTCTAGAGATTCAAACTCAGGTCTTTCAAACACCTGAGCCACTGAGCTATTACCCTGCCCTCTATTCCCTACAATTAATAATTTCTCCTATAGTGGCTGCTGAAGCTGAAACATTTAATTTGCACACATATTACCCTTCTTAATTCACTTCAACAGCTTCTTTATTTGTAGAATGGGGAGATTAACTGCCTAAGTGTTATGTGTTCGTTTTGTAAATTGAATAAAATGGTCAGCATAGACTCTAGCGTGTGGTTACAGCTTACTATGTGTGTAGGCAAGAAAGATGTCTGCTGCCACTGTCTGCTGCCACACCTGAATTCTCAATGATTTGTCATCAGTACACATACCTGATGTCTCCTCAAATGTCACAGGTGTCAACAAGTACTCTAATGCCTGTCACAGTTCTTAGCACACTTCTAGACTATGGCTCACCACTGAGTAAAAAAAAAAAAAAAAAAAAAAAAAAAAGTGGTTTTGTTTCTATCGAAGTTAGAACCGGAAAGTGACAAGTTGAGAAAAGAAAGGTTAGAAACCGCAGTGTGACACCTACCAGGGTCTCTTTTGGACTTGCTCAAGGGATGGTTCTGGAGTTGTATATGTCTTCCTTCAGCTTTCAGAGAAATGGTATTCACTGAGTATGATTTCTTAAGAGCCTTATTTGCAGCTTGCATTTTCACAAATGGGCTGACCCAGACCTGCCTGAGTGGTCTTCTAGATTTTTTCTGCAGTTCTTCTTTGACAGAAAAGAACAGGCCCTCCTCATCCACTGCACTGGATGGTGACAAGCAAGGGCAGCCTTCTCCACAAATGTCTTCATCCAGAGAGAGTGTGCTCGCAGGGGTGTTGGGAATTATGTACTGGTGAGGGTAAAGTAGTCTTTTACTTGTCAGTGGATTATGAAACCCTGCAAATTCTGTAAAAGGGAAATACATTAGTTTGAAAGAATCACTTCAAAATCATCTTCGAGATTAATGGAAGGGAGAATGGATCAAGCTATATATGGACTTGTATGTGTTTTCTGTTTCACACCTGAGCAAACATATGTAAATGACCATGACAGAAACTGGGGTACAAAAATGATGGGAGAACAAAAATGATGGGAGTAGTGTAGAGAGAAACATAAAGGGCAGTGAATGGTTAAGTTCGGGGTATGTAGCCAACATTGTATGAGGTCCTGAACATGGCTGTCACTTAATCTTTGCAAGATCCATGGCTAGCTGAGAGTATTGTCTCCATTTTACAGTCAGAACGCTAGCTCAAAGCATATATAAGTGCCTTTCCCCCCCAAATCTGTGTTGAAGTTCTGATTTGCAATATCTGCACATGTGGCCTTCAATATTTGCACATGTGATCTTACTAGAGAATATAAAAATATAATTAAAGATGAAGTCATGATAAATTAAGGTTCATTTTGGATATATTAGAAGGCTGAGACACATGAGCGCATGCGCCACATGGAGGTACAGATAGAGGTGAGGCCCAGTAAAGGCGGGGACAGGGTGAGGAGCCAAAGAACTCAGGGCTCTATTAGAAGAAAGAGGTAACACTTCTCTAGAGCTTTCAGAGGAAGCAGACCTGGGCAGACACCTCGATTTGGGACTTCTAGCCTCCAGAATGAGAAGAATAAAGTTCTGTTGTTTTAAGCCACCCATTTTGCAGTCACAAAATGTTTCTTACAACAGCCCAAGAAAGCAAAATATGCTTAGATGGGGGAGCTGATCCAAAATGACGTAAATATTAATTAGCAGAGTTAGAACCGCAGCCCAGACTCAATCCACAGCGCAAGCCCAGTGGTCAAGACACTTGTTTGATGCACTTGCAAGGTGAAAAACACATTGCTTGAAGCCACATTAGAGGATGAGGGAGGTGCTCAAAAATGTATATATACACATATATGTATATATATGTATGTGTTTATGTATATATGTATATATATATATACATATACACACACATACATACATATGGCACATTTGTTATCCCAATGTTGTGGAATCAGATATGGGTAGATCTCTGGGGCTCAATGGCCAGTCATCCAAGACTGCTCGGCAAGTCCAGGCCAAGAAGAAGAATAAATTTGAGTGTCTCCAACAGTCAAAGATGGCCAAAGACACAGCTAAGGCAATACCACCTTTCCCTATCACAGACAATAGTGGTTTGGAAAAGACAAGAAGAAGATGGCATGAAGGAATAGATAAGCAACTCTGACCTGTTAGGCAAAGGAAAGGGGTGAGTTATAAATGGAAGAAAGAAAACAAAACAAAGCAAAAAAGTAGTCCGTAGAGTTTGCAACTCGATGGACAGTATAGGTGTGTGTGTGTGGTGTGCGTATGTATGTGTGTATGCGTGTCCATGTGTGTATATGTATATGTCTGTGTGCACATGCATGCATCTGGGGGTGTGTGATCATATGATAATAGAAAGCAATTAAGTCTTTTTAGGGTTGAGAAGTGTTGGGAGGGGTAAGAGAATTGACAAAGCTTATTTGTTTTAATCTAACTAATTACCAGATTCAATCTTCTTGTGATTCTGTATTTTGTGTAAATAAAAATATAAATGTTGACTACTTTTTAAGATATGTTACTGTCATTTTAGAATTGTAGTGAAGGTCAGTGAAAGTGCTACAACCTGTAGCTGGGTGTGAACATGGCTTTATGCAATTCATGGCTCAGGAACCTGAAAAATTTCTATTTAATTTTACACAGCCTCAGTTTTTCATTCATAAAATTTGGAGAATTGCACCTACCTCAAGAATATTATAAAGAACAGATTATATAGTGCACATAATGAAGTATAGTTGGCATGTAGAAAATAAATATTAAATATCAACTCTGTTACATTGAGATTACATCAAAGAATAACTCTAAAATATAAAGATATAAAGCACACAATGAAAACAACAAAATTTGAAAAACATAAACCAAAATCAGCATTTCAAATGCTGTAACTTCTATGGATCTTTAATTAGACAAAATTAAAATTTAAAGAGTTAAAATAGTTTAGCATTCCACTACAGATATATTTAGTTAAATGTCCTTTCACAACACAGTGACATAAAATGAAATCTTTAATGGGAGAGGTAGTATAAGGAAAGAGACATTTCCAGGGCTTAAGAATCTGCCTGGGTTCGATGCTAAGCAATATAGTTTTGAGAACTGAGGGGAAACTTACAGAAAGTCATTGAGCCTGTGGTAGTATGACCAAATGGCCTAGTTATTTATGGAGTCAATTATGTCCTTTAGAAGATTTATTCAAGCCTTGAACTTCGGTAGCTGTGAATCTGCCCTTATTTGGAAATGGGTTTTTACAGATAAAAATCAAGTTGGGGTAATCTTTAATTCAATATGACTATTGTCCCTATAAGAAGAGCCACAGAGACACAGATATAGATGAACATCACAGATGGTAGAGAAAAGATTGAAGAGATGCTCCAACTAGTAAAGAAATGTCAAGTATTGCTACCAAAAGCTAAACAAACTCAACAAATTCTCCCTTAGAAACTTCGAACAATGCTTTTTCAGTCTTGCTCTCCAGATGGAGAAAATAAAGTCTCTTGTTTTAACCTGCCCAGTTTGTGGAATTTCCTATAAAAACCACAAAACTATTACATACATTATAGCTTAGATTTATACATGTTATCCCAAAGTACTTACTAATCAAACTTTTACCCCAAAACAAAGTATTTGGATTTTGGAGAAAGAAAAGAGAAAAACCCCAAATACGGTAGCTGTGGTATGGGAAGGGGAGAGCTGGGAGGGATGACTTGAGTTCTTCTCTGTGGAGGAGCTGGGCCAGAGTGCCAGGAGTAAACTCTGCAAGCTGAGTCACAGGCAGCTCAGAGCACACTGGCCATGCTGACTGCCACACTCTGCCAAAACGACAACCTTGTACGCTGAGCGATAATCATAGAGAACATTCTGAGATCCAAGTAAAGTGGGGTTATTCTTAGAGTATCTGTCCCCTCTGAAGGGACCCGAGACCTTCCAATCCTTTAATTGCCAAAATGAAAGAGTTAAGCAACAGCAGACATTTTAGAGAGAAGAAATTTTAAGAATGTAAAAACTTCTGATTTATAAATGTTGATCTTTTTAGTCTTCTAATTATGTAGTGTAGAATACACATGACACAACTGCTCTCTGAAAAAGCACAAGCCACCAGTTTCTGTCTTTGTCACACAGCCAGACCTATGAGTAATAACATTCATTTACTTCCTCCTATAACATCTTTTCCCTAGAACATGATTTTATAAATATTCAGCTTGGTTCAATGGGAATGCAGTTGTATCTCTTTCCACAGCAAGTCTTAGATCTAGATATCTGCTCTACCTCCATCACATTAACTTAAATGTCTGATTTTCATTTTTCATTGTTTTGTTATTTCACCTTGAACCCCACAGTTTGACATAGTAGAACAAAAATTAGCCTTTTCAAAGTGCAAAGAAACGTTTAGGATCTTTCTAACTTGTAGTTTCAGGTCTCTTGGTCCAAAAGGAAAATGAAAACCACTATAACCAATAGTATTCAGTCCAAATATTTGGTTTGTTTGGTTATTCAAATACTGTGACTGGGATGGAAGGTCCAAAGCACTTCAAATACATCCAATTACCCTTCATATCTAACAAGCTAGGGATCAAGAGAATTTAAATGTCATCTGAGAATAGCCACCTTCAACATCCAACTCTGTGTAAATACTTTGGGGGACTAATTTTTCACACCTTTGCATCAGATACTCCACCACTTATCAGAAGAGCAAGTAACTTTGCATTTGTAACATATTAAGGATTCTATGTACAGGAAACAAAGGCATTATTATGACATTAAAATGGGTTGTCATTGTGGTTATTTATTTAGTTATTTAACAATATTTTTAAGCATCTACCATAGGTTAGATACTACCCCAATGATGAACATTTATACAGGCCAATAGAAAAAAAATGATTTTAAGACAAAACTTATTAGTTGATTTACAGTAAAATGAAGTTGAGCCTATCAAACTAGATTATGTTAGTTTCACAGATTCTTGAATCCATTTCTAGTATCTTCTGTGATACCACTGCCAGGTCACCTGGGCTAACAGAACTACCAGTTGTCTTGGACTTAAATAACAGAGCAACTACTCAACGTTCTTTCACAATCTTCAGTGGCTTTTAATATGTTCCTTACTTTTCCTTCCTAGATGGTGTTAAAATTTAAGCCAAATTCCATGGCCTGTGGCATGAAGTCCAGTGCTTCTTGGTAGGTTACACAGCTAAGTCTAATCCAATGGTTCTCAACCCTGGATATATATTAGACAGCAACATACTGGACATGTTTTATAATATATGATTCAGGTCTTGCCCAATCTAGCAAACCCAGTCAGAGGGGTTTGCTGTGAGGCTCCTTTGTGGTTAAAGCATATAAATAGTATGGACAATCCTTGATCTGTATAAATTATATGGGTTTCCAAGGGCTATGATCAGTTTTATTCAGTAAAATAATCATGAAAATAAACTCAAAAGTCAGTGCCATCTTTCTCCTCAAGTCTTTCTACAACTAGACACTGTCTCAGAATCCAGCATATATAGTCCTTATAACTTGTGTGTTCCTTTGCATTTTACTTGTTTCCATGCCAACAATCTCACTTGAGCCTCACCAAACTTCTCTAGTTTACTAATCTTACTAAGAAACTGAAGGTGACAAAAAATAAGCATCTTGGTCATATCACCAGCTGATCTGAAAGCAAGACCCAGGTCTTTAAATTTGGGGTAAGGAAAATTGGTCTGAAATTCTCTTCCTTTTCTGAGTCTTTGTGTGGTTTAGGTATCAGGGAGACTGTGCCTCATAGAATAAGTTTGGCAAAATATGGACTGAGAAAATGACTTACCAAGTAAAGTGTTTTCTGTGCAAACATGAGAACCTGAGTTTATATCCCTCG